GCTTGGCTCAGCAGCAGGTTCTTGTAGAACCCACCCCCAGCCCCACCCCCAGCTCCTCCCCAGCCCCATCCTTAGACCTGCTCTCTGAACATACCTCTATTAGCTTCTAGGCCTGACACTTGGAGCTCTGATTGAGATCTGTTCTCCAGGTAAGCAGGTTGACCAGATAGAATATCTGGAAGAGGCATCTTCACCACAGCCCAGCTAGAAGGTGCTGGGCCTTCTAGCTGTCCCCTCCACCCTGGCTCTCTGGGCTTGGTCTGCTCTAGGCTTGTGGGGGGGTGGCGGCTTGAGTTCTGGGGCTGCAGATGCCAACGAACTTGTGATGTTCCAGGGATGCTTCTCCACCATCGGCATGCCTGCGCAGTCCTCTGTGCATCTCAAGGCATCTACAGAAGACGCTTGGTATCCAAGCTCTTGTGACCCTGTCCTGTGCAAGGTGCTGAGCTCACACTGGTGAAGGATGTTCTGTAGAACAGCCATGCTGCGTCCGATGGGAGCTGGGAGAGGTGAGCCCAGCACTGTATTATTCATCCACATGATTGCCAGAGGTCTGAGTCTCATGAATCCTACAGCACAGAACAGCAGGCGGAAGCTGAAAGCCAGGGAGCTGTATTTGTCACCTGAGGCTGCATAACAAATTGCACCTGGACAGTATTTATCATCCCCTTGATACTCCTGAGGGACAGGGATCTGGGCCTGGCTCAGCTGGGGCCTCTGGCTCAGGGGCTTTTCATTGAAATCCAGCTTCTGGCCAGGGCTGTGGTCTCACTTGCAGGCGTGGCTTTCCACTGCTCACTCACAGGGCCGTTGGTAGGTAGCGTTTCCATAGGCTGTTGGGCCACAGGCTTCCCTTCTTTGCTAGCGGTGTTTGAGGGTCTTCCTCAGCTCCTTGTCTGTGGACCAGTGAGAGGCCTAGCGAGGCCAAGTAAGACAGCCAGGAAACCTGACCTTGGAAACCACGTGTCATCATGTAGGTTGTGTTACCAAGGAAGCACTGGCCTCTCTTGTAAGAAGGAACTGTCAAGGCAAGGTCCTTTTTCCCTGTCTGGGTTGGCGAGGCCAATAACAACACTGAAGTATCATCGACAACACAAGCTGTTTTCACTGGCTAAAGAGTGGAGACATGGGAGCCCCGCTCATGAGTCAACTCTGCCCGCTGGGCACTGTGAAGTCACAGGTATAGGACAGCAGAAATTCGTGGGGGAGGAATATTCATGGGGATTTCTAGGAAAACTGGCACTGCCTCTTTCCTTAATGGGCCTTCCTGGTTGCTGCCCTGGTCCTGCTGTGCGTGTCACTTAGCATAGGAATTAGATGAGAATGAAGCCGGAGGTTGATTAGAGGCTGACTGAGCCGCCATCTTGGACCCAGCTGCTTTTAGCTGATTACCATGAAGAACCTCCAGGCGTCTAGTTCTTACAGATAAGCACGGGCCGGCCAGGGCGTGGGAGCTTGGGGGTGCAGGCAGAGCCGATGGGCAGGGCAGGCTGTGCAGATACAGTACTAGGCAATGGTTTTCTCTCTGCTGATTAGAAGCAAGGCACTTGAGCCAGGCCACGCTCAAGGCAAGTTATCACCCAAGGGTGTGAAGCCCAGTAGTGGGGGGGGGGGGGGGAAGAAGACACTGGGGAGCAGTTGGGTGTCACATGACCTTCTCTAAGGCTGGAAGCTAGAACTCATTTCCCATGCCTTCAGGAGCTGGCTCCTCACCTCCTTGAAGCTGTCTTCCTACACTGGGGAAGCAGGAAGTCCGGAAGGCAGGGAGAGGGCAGCGGTGGGTGGGCTGGGCCTTACTGTGGAGCAAGGTGGGGTGGAGCTGGGAGGTTTCTCTGTCTCCAGCAGCCTGACAAGGACCAGAGCACGAGTCACAGGCTCGAGGGCAGCAGAGCCCACCACCAAGGCCACACGCAGATGTCCAAGCCCTTTGCTGGAGGCCTCGCTCTTTTCTCTACCTGTGAAGTTGCCATCCCCCCCCCTCTCCTGACACCTGGACATCAGGTAGGAGGTGCAGGAAGAGGGGACATTGCATTCAGGTAGCCCCTAAGGGGCTGTCCACATCTTCAACTTCTTCTAGCCTGCAAAGGGAGTAGATGCTTTGTAAACGGGTTTCTCTCCTCCATAGCCCTGTCAGAGTTCAGGCAGAAGCCGAAAGCGCATTCACCAAGAGAGAATGAGTTCTTCCTGCTCATCTGGGCTTCAGTGAGCAGAGTCCATTCATGCATTCAGAGTGGTTTGCTGAAAGACCTCACTAGCAACTATATATTTTAAGATTTTTTTTTTTAACGACACAGGTGGCCAACCTTCTCATAAACAAGGAAGTAGAGGCCTGGGGAGTGGCCTGCAGACACACAGTGAGTGGAAGAGCCCAGAGACAGGGGCCCAGTCTCACACACAAACCAATACTGGCTTTGCTTAGAGCTGCTGCGGCCTGCAGATGGGCGGGGCATGCGTCCTGGGCTCAGGGCTTAATGCTGCCTAATGCGGCTTAGTGCTCCTAGTCACCTGTAGGTGGTGAAAACTCCCACCCACACTCCACAGCGCCTCCTGGCTCAATTGGGGGACTTGGAACACATTTTAGACCAAGCACTAGATGAGGAGTCAGAATTCTAGAGGCCCCACTCAATGGGCATGCTCCTAGCTCAGCTAAACTGGGGTGCTCCTGTCATTTCTCTGACTATGCTGCTATAAAAAACAAAAATAAAACAAATACATACACCAAAAAAAAAACAAAACCACAGAGCAACTGAGGTCCTGTCTGTAATCCTAGCTACTCAGGAGGCTGATATCTGAAGATGCAATTTGAAGCACCCTGGACAGGAAAGTCCATGAGATTCTTTTTTTTTTTTTTTTTTAATTTAATTTTATTTTATTTGAGAACATACTGTACAGAGGGGTTACAATTACATGGGCAGGATAATGCATACATTTCTTTCCAAGCATTGCAGCCTCCTCCTTTGTTTACCCTTCACCTCCCTTCCCAGCCTCCCCCCTCCCTCCCACCCAATCATACCCCCCCCCCCGACATTGTAAAGCTGGTTTTGACATGACATTTTGTACTTCTCATTGTTGCAACAGGTCCACCTGAATCCTTAAACGACTTGTTTGTCCCCATCTCCTCCACATGTTATACTGACAAGTCCATGAGATTCTTATCTCCAGTTAATCACAGAAAAAGCTGGAAGTGGTGCTGTGGCTCTAGTGGTAGAGTGCTACCTTTGAGCAAAAGTAGCTCAGAGAGAGTGCCCAGGCCCAGAGTTCAAGCCCCAGAATTGGCAGCCAAAAAAAGGAGGAGGAAAAGGAAGAGGAGAAGGAGGAGGAGAAGGAGGAGGAGGAGGAGGAAGAGAAGGAGGAGGAGGAGGAGGAGGGAAAGAAAAAAAGAAGGAAAGAAAGAAAGAAAGGAAAAGGAAAGGAAAGGAAAGGAAGAAAGAGGGAAAAGAAAAGACAAAACAAAACAGAGCAGCTGCTCTGAAGGCTGAGGCAGGAGCATCATTGAGGCCAGCGGTTTGCAGTCAGTCTGGGTAGCATAACAAGACCCTGCTTCAGAACAAAAACAAACACTAAACAACAACAACAACAACAAACAAAGAGCATGACCAGGCACTGGTGGCTGGTGCCTGTAATCCTAGCTACTCAAGAGGCTGAGATCTGAGGATTGAACTCAAAGTCAGCTTAGGCAGGAAAGTCTGTGAGACTTATCTTCAATTAACCAGCAAAGGGCCAGAAGTGGAGCTGTGGCTCAAGTGGTAGAGTGCCAGCCTTGAATGAAAAAGCTAAGGGACAGCAGCAAGACCCTGAGTTCAAATCCCAGTACTAGAATAAACATGTGCAAACACACACACACACACACACACACATATAAGCGGACATGCATTAAACATGAAACACACCAAACCTACTAAACTCCTTAGCTTAGCAGCACAGCCCACTGTAGCTAATCAGTTATTTGCCTCCTAATTCCAGGGCTGAGTAGCTATGGTTTGCTGTGGCTGTCTAGTATCTCGGCGATAGAGGTGGGGTGAGGGAAGGGATGGCATTTAACCCAGAAAAAAAAATCAAAATTCAATTCGTGGTTTCACAGCATGGTAAATTAGGAGTAGGCAACTAGTTGAACTTGTGAACTGGAAATGGGTGTGGGCCATGTACCATTCCCCTTCCCAGCTCCCCGCCCCCAGTGCCCCCAGTAACTCCTCCAGGGGTCAAGAGCTGGTGAGGGATCTTGGGGTGGTAACTACTCCTTGTCGGATGTCCAGCGCTAATGGGCTTGTACACAAGGTGAGTCACCCATGTCACTCCAGAGCCACAGCCCACCATCCTGAAAAGTTATTCTCTCCACAGACAACTGACAACTACTGATTCGCGATGTGCAAGGGTCAAATACTCTAGTAGCTACACGGGGTGAAGGAAGAGAGGGATCAGCTTAATGTGAGTGGACAGGTTTCCTAAGTGCCCAGGCTATGATCCGGAGCAAAACTGCATGTGTGATTTCATTTGTGAATTAATGAGGGCCAGCTAATCTTTCAGAAGCCTCCAATTTGTAATTTTGCTCAAAAGCCCTTTAGCCTTTACAAACAAGGACCGGTCTTTCTGGGTTAGGCTAACTCCTTTGGTCAGAAAAAAAAAAGGCAGCTGAGAAGGTGGCTCAGTGGTAGAGCGCTTGCCTTGCATGCCAGAGGCCCTGGGTTCGATTCCTCAGCACCACATAAGCAGAAAAAAAAATCCGGAATTGGTGCTATGGCTCAAGTGGTAGAGCGCTCGCCTTGAGCTGAAGAGCTGAGGGACAGCGCCCAGGCCCAGAGTTCAGGCCCCACGACCAGATCAAAAAAAAAAAAAAAAAAGGCAGCTGTGTCTTTAAAACGGGGCGGCCTCCTGTCAAATAGGTCCTTAGACCATAGGCTGGCGGCGCATGAAGTCCCACCCACTTTCTGTGACGTCCCACGTCCCGGTCCCTGATTGCTCGCTCCCGACGTCAATCGCGGGGCCTGTGTCTTGCTGGGACACGGAGGAGGGCTCGCCTTTGGTTTGCGGGGCGGTCGGGTGAATTCTCCGCACGCCCTCGAGGCCGCCGCCGCCCGACCCCACAGTGGAGCCGACCAGCGCTTCCCGTGGCGCCTCCCGCACCGGATCGCTCCTCGCTGGGGCGGGACGTGAACCCGACGGCTCCGGTCACTATGGTCAGTGGCGGCGGAGGGGGTCGGGGGGGGGGGGGTGAGACCTCCGGGACCCGGGGGCGGGGCGCCGGGGCGGGGTCGCGCGGGGCTCAGCCCCCAGCGCGCACCCGCCGCGGGCCGGGCAGCGCTGTGGGTCCGAGCGGGTGCGGGGCCGGGCGGGATGGGGGCCAGGACGCCCCTTCGTGGGGGGCCGTGCAGCCCCCCCCCCCCCGCCGCGGGCTCGGCCGCCAGACCCCCCCTCCCGCCCCGCGTGGCCGGTGGACAGACGGACACCGGCTTCACCCCTGAGGTCAACAGGTCGCCAGTGTGAGGCGCAGGAGTCAGGGGTCCGGGCCCCCCCCGACCCCCGTTCTGAGTGCTGTCCGAAGGGCTCGGTGAGTCCCCGAGGCCGGCCCGGCCGGGGCGGGACAGGTGGGACACGGAGGCGGACGGGACCCGGGCTGGCACCCATTGTGATGGTGTGTGGGCAGCGACTCGAACTCCAGTGCTCTCAGTGTTACATCAGCCCCCCTTCTGGCTGCCGTGGGGTCAGTGCCCCCCCAAGTCTTTGACCTCGGGGGATCTGTAGCCGGGAAGGGCTCGGGGTCGCTGGGCTCACACGTGGGCACCAGGGCTGCCGTGGGCCCGCGTGGAGACGCGTGTGGAGCTCGAACTCAGCCACCTGCGAGCGCCTGGGTCTCCATGCCTGGCCCCTCCTCCCACAGGCAGGGGCGGACAGCGGCTGACCACGGGGGTCCCCCTGGGTGGATTGGCGCCCCAGAGAAGGCAGCCTCCTGCTGGAAGCACTGGACTCCTGCCCAGAGGCTTACCTGCCCAGCTGGCGGGCCAGCTGGAGTTATGAGGGGTTCACACACACACACACACACACACACACACACACACACACACGGGGTCTGTCATATGGTCTGGCCACCACTGAGTGGCTGGGGCAGTGCAGGCCCTTGCTCTGCACAGTGAGGTGCCTGACTCCACCCTGCCATCTGCCCTGGACTCCTGAGACCAGCAATTAGATGGTGCTGCGACCCAAAGCTCCTAACCCCTCCCCTGGAGAGCTTGGGGGCTTGGGGGAGGGATGGTACGGTTAACCCACTCGACGGGATGGTACGGTTAACCCACTCGACAGGATGCCTGCCTGGAGTCCCGGAGTGGCGTCAGATGCTGTGCAGGGTTTTCATTTGGCATTTATTGAGCACCTCCTGTGTACTGCACACGGTGCAAAGCCCTGGGGTTTGCTTTTGTGGTTGAATGAACGCCTGGTGTGGGTAGTGATAGAAGGGAATTCTTAAAAACAAGGCGTCTTCCTCGCTGTTTGTGTCAGATCCCAGGTAGGGTCCCAGGTGGAGGGTGAAGTCCCCTGGGAGGGCACACGCAGGCCTGCAAGTAGTGCATCCTCCTGCTCACTCTCAGTGTGTTTATTGTTTGGGAAAGAGGGAGTAAATGTGGGACCCGAGGGGTAAATCCACCAGGGCCTGTTTGCTTTGTTCTGTCATTTGTCAGGCAAGCCGCCAGTGGGCGCTCTTGTGGGGCCTGTGCTGGGCACAGGTGAGAAAGACAGATAAAAGTATCTCCCTTCTCTGCACTCTGCCCATGGCCAGGTCAGCATCAGCTCAGCTGCTGACATGGCCAAAGAAGCCAGCCAGGGGCTCTGAGTACCCTGTGGGTGTAGGAATGCTGGGAAAAGCTTCACTGAGGAGGCCTTTTGAGCTGGGTGTATTAAGGGTATGCAAGGAGGGTTTGGAGAAGAGTACATTCTAGGCCAGGGGAGCAGTGGACTTATAGGCCTTGAAACCTGGTCAAGAGTGGAGTGTAGCCAGGCATGGAGCTCCATGCCTGTAATCCCAGCCACAAGATAAATGGAGATAGGAGGCCAGCCTGGGGGGAGGGAAAGCTAATGAGGCCCTATCTCAAAAAAGAGGCTGGGTATGGTTGTTCATATCTATGGTCCCAGCTACCTGGAAGGTGGAAGTAGGAAGAGCTGCATCCAAGGCCAGCCTAGGCAAAAATATATGAGGCTCTGTTTGAAAAATAACTAAGGTTGAAAATGGCTGGCAGTGTAGTTTAAGTGGTAGAGGGCTTAAGTTCAAGGTCCTGAGTTCAGTCCCCAGCAACACACACACACACACACACACATATCCTGGGATGGGTTAGCCTCTGGGCTGTGGAGTTTGGGGAATTCACAGAAGGGAAAACCATGCCATGGTTGGTGAGTAAGAGATGGTTGACCTGGACAGTTGCTGTGGCTGTGGAGGGGACCCCAGGTTGAGGTGGCTGGGCTGGAGTCCGATGCATTTCACTCATTCAGCATTAGATTATGGGGCCACTAGAACCCAACTGGGCTCGGTGATAGCCATTTTCTCACAGAACATCTGGAGCATTACGGCATGGCAGGCAACGAGGGGGCTGGCAGTGACCGGCAATGACCAGTAGACCATGTCCCTGTCCCCAGAGTTTGAGATGTTGGAGGGGGACTGTGAACCAGTGAGCCCACCTGCCAGGCTGTGCCCTGAAGAAATAAAGCAGGGTGGAGTGATGGCCAGAGGGAGGGCTGCCGCAGACAGATGGTCAGGGCATCACCCGAGTCGTAAAGACACAGAACATTCCAGTCAGAAGCCAGCAGAGGGGTCTTCCATTTTTGTCTTTTTGTTGTTTGTTCCTTTTGGTTCTTTGAGGCAGAGCTTTAAACCATCCTGGCCTAGGACTTGTGCTCCTCCTATTCAGCCTCCTGAGTGCTGGGATTGTAGGCGTGTGCACCACACCTGGCTCTCTCGGTCAGTTTTGTGCTGATGTAGCAGAATTCCACAGACGGAGTCATTTATAATGGACAAGCATTTATTGGCTTCCAGCTCTGGCAGGCTAGGAAGTCTAAGATGAAGATGCTGGCGTCTGGCGAGGCCCACTTGCTGGGTCACAAGGTGCCGGGAAGCACCTGGAGGCAGAGAGGCTGGAAAGGACGGGAGGGGCGACCCCGTGACTGCATTAGCCTATTCCTGGGGGTGGAACCCATGACCTCACCACCTCTCAGAGGCCCCACCCCTGCCACTGTTGCCGTGGCAATTGAAGTTGTGGCATTCTGCTCCTGGCCCCCCAGTGCTCATCAAAGTCAGCTCATTCTAGAGGTCAGAGTTTCAAGTTAGCCAGACCTAGGTGAGACTCAGAGTTTTCTGAGGCAGGTGTGGGCTTGTGAAGTTATCAAGTTAACTGCATCTCTGGTCCAGTGGTGGTACAGGCCTGGGTCACACATTTCCACTCCCAGGTGGGTAAGCAGTGCCAAGTAAGTCTAACAGTCAGTAGTGTGAGCAACACTGAGACTTAAGAACTCAGAATAATCTACCTCCATGCTCCTCCATGGACGCGCTGGGTTCAGCCTGAAGCAACTCTCCCAGGCTGGGTCCCAGACCTGACATTCCTGAGCCTGCAGCTCTCCCAGGCTGGATCCTGGGCCTGCCACTCTCCCAGGCTGGATCCTAGAACTGCAGAGCAGCAGTGTCTGGAGCCCCAGAGGGCGTGCTGCGGAGTGCCACCCTCCCCCCCCCCCCCCCCGACTTTAAGCCCAGGATACTCATTTTGGACTTCTGACTTCCGACTCCATTTGTCCATCCGATAGAGCCGCAGCACACACCTGTGGCTACGTGTGCGGCTCCAAGCATGTTTGGCTCACTCACAAAACCCTTGGAGCTGTCTGCATATGCGTTCCGCATGCCACATCCTGAGGCGACACTGGAGAGGCCTTTTTCTGCTCAGGCCTGGGACAGGCCAGGCCAAGGCTCAAGCCAGGGTGGCTTCTGGAGGTGCCGAGCCTCTGCGAGGGGAGGATGCCATGTTTTGAGCTTGCCCTGCTGGCAGGCAAGCTGGAGTCATGGGTGTACAATGAGAAGAAGCTGCTGGCCTGCGTCATGAGGCTGACCCACAGCCCTGAGGAATGTGGCTCATTGCCTCCTGCATCCCCGGCAAGGCTGGTGGGCACTGCAGAGCCTGGACTGCGGGTGTGCTCCGGTGCACCTAGGAAGTGTGTGTTGATGGAGTTTGTAGGCAGAGGTATGAGCTAGGGCCTGCTGTTGACCTTGTTAGCAAAATATATCTACATCTCTCCTGCTAAAAACGATTTCCAAGCGGAGGTGCTAGCTGTCTGACTTAACTAGTATCAATTTGCAAAGTAGCAATTAAAGAGCCAACATCTTTTCATGAGGCCTCACTAGGTCTGACAGGTCAGTCAGGTGCAGCCTGTCTGTTCTTTCTCCATAACATCCTGGGAAGGTTCAGCCAAAGTAACAATTTGTGTCAGCCAAGGTCAGACTCACAGCGTCAGTCCTGCTGTCTGGGCTGTTGTACCTGGAGCCTGGGTCTGGCCTCACCAGAGAGTGTGTACCTAGCTATGCTGGTGGGGACAGCCTGGAGACTTGGATCGTTCTGTAGCTGTGCTAGGACTTGAAGGGCCAAGTTAGAAAATGGACTTGTCACCAAGATACCAAGACGACCTAGTAAACATTCCAGGAACCACTAGAGGGCGCAGGAGCTATTCCACTTGCGATTATTTATTTATTTATTTAGTTAGTTATTTAGTCAGTCAGTCGTGGGGCTTGAACTCTGGGCCTGGGAGCTGTCCCTGAGCTCTTCAGCTCAAGGCTAGCACTCTATCACTTGAGCCACAGTGCCACTTCCAGTTTTCTAAGTAGTTTATTGGAGATAAGAGTTTCACAAACTTTCCTACCTGGGCTGGATTTGAACCTCGATCCTCAGATCTCAGCCTTCTGAGTTGCTGGGATTACAGGTATTAGCCACCAGCATCTGGCTATTTTTAAATTTTATTTATGAGACAGAGTCTGAGTCCAACAACGCCACCACAGGGTGGCTTTGAACTCACCATCCTCTGCCTCAGCATTCAGATTGCTAGGATTACAGGCAGGCATTACCATGCCTGGCTAGGTCTGGATCTTAAATAGTCCTGAATGAAGAAGAAAATATGCCCCAACGTCAATAGTAAAATAGGTACAAAGATTTAAAACACATACATACATGCCCCCTCTGTATTTTTAAAGAGACAAATACCACTTTTATGAGGTCCCTAGAACACTCATTTATAAAGACAGGAAGTAGAAAGATGATTGCCAGGGAATGTGGGAGAGGAGGAATGGGAGGTCTGGTTTAATGGCCATGGAGTTTGGTTAAAAAAATGCCAGGCTTGCCCATGAGTCACCCCAGGCCCAGAGGGGGTGCTAAGACCCAGCCTTTTGGTGCTTCCGCGTTGGCACAGATGGGTGCAGAAACACCTGTAGGGATTATACATGATGCTAATGACTTATATGATTTAGCCAAAACCAGTAAATGTTCTATGTGCCACCAAAGACAACAAAGCTGGCTTATTGTAAGGTTTATTATTTTTTTGACGTAGGACAAAGGTGATTTTTTTTTTATATACAAAGCTCTGGGTTCAACTGCAACATCACACACACACACACACACACACACACACACACACACACACACACACACAACTAAAACAAGGTTTTGTCTTAGAGAAAATGTACAACTTTGCCCTAATAAATGTTTCATAATAATTATCAAATGAGTCACATTTTCCTCAAGTTTTTATAAGAAAAAAATACTGGCAAATGAAAATGGAACAATTTCAAGTTGTAAGTTAAGTTTGACAAGATTAGAAGCTGGGTAGAGGCGACTCACACTTGTAAACTAGCTACTCCAGAGCTGAGACCTGAGGATCTCAGTTTGAAGCCAGTCCAGCAGTGAAGTCCATGAGTTGTTTTTTGTTTTTTGGGGGTTTTTTTTGGTCGGTTGTGGAGCTTGAACTCTGGGCCTGGGAGCTGTTCCTCAGCTCTTCAGATCAAGGCCAGCACTGTAGGAGAGTGAGAGAGAGAGAGAGAGAGAGAGAGAGAGAGAGAGAGAGAGAGAGCTCCAGCGAGAGAGCAGGGAGGGAGGGAGGGAGGGAGGGAGGGGAAGAAGGGAGCGTGAGGGAGGGGGGAAAGGGAAAGAGAAAGGGAAAGGGGAAGGGAGACTAGAAAGTGGAATGAATATGAGAACTGTCCCTTGGCACGAGCAGCAGTCTTGGAGAGGTGGAAAACACTTGAGCCCCTCTGGTGTTGCTCTTGTTCAGTCTTTTTGGTGGTGCTGGGCCTTGCACACACTGGGCAAGTGTTCTGCCACTGAGCTGAGCCTCAGCCTGCTGATGCCTTTGCTTGCCATGTGTGACCACCACCTAGGACTGACCCCATCCTGTGCCATGAGCCTTGCAGATGGAAAGGTTTTTGGCAGGAGCTGGGGGAGACTGTGCTGTGTGGCTGGAGTAGCGGGGAGCACCCAGGCAGGAGACTGTCCCCAGCCTATCCATGACGAGCCTTCAGACTGCCCTGAACAGAACATTCCTCATACCTGTCAGCCTTGGACCTTTGAGAGCTACCGGACTCTGGACTCTGCCTAGCGGTTAGCTAGAATTTGCATAGAATTCGCAAAGATTCCAAGTCATGCAGGTGTGACTTCCTAGCACAGGGGACTCGACCTTGTCAGGAGCATGTGTATAGTGCCCAACTCACAAGAATGTTGTGATTAAATGAGATAATAAGCATATATAAGCAAGCCTTTGTTCCAGAGCTTGGTATATAGTCAGTGCATAATGACAGCGCTTGTACATTTTGGCCTTAGCCACAGAGCATCAAACCCTCGTCAGAGTGAGATGGGAATATCTCCGAATTTCCAGCCCCCAACACCAGGCTTGGGGTAGGCTGGATGTTCAAGGAGTTGGATGAATAAAAGCATGAAGGAATGAGGGAGGACCGAGGGGAACACAGGGCCCATTGCATTCTGGCATGAAGACTCAGCAGGTTTGAGGTATTATATTTTATACAACAAATCCACTCGCAGGTTGCAGGTTGAGTTTCCTTACCAGGAAGGAGGCACCCCATGATGGTGCTGACCCCAATCACCCCTGTCTCTGACGGTGCCGGTCCAGATGGACGTCTAGCCTGCTGCTCTCATACATCTCAATGTGCTTTCTCTGCCTTTCAGAGTGAAACATCTTTCAATCTAATATCAGAAAAATGTGACATTCTATCGATTCTTCGGGATCATCCTGAGAACAGGATATACCAGAGGAAAATCCAGGTGTGCCAGAAGGATGGGCCGAGAATCCTAAATTAAGTGAGCTGGAGTTGGCCACAAAGGAGGGGTGCCTCTTTGAGGGCTTAGTGTTCAGACCAGGTTCCTGGGCCCATTGAAACACTTCTAGAATATTCTGATTAGCCATCTGCCTCAACAAGAAGTCCTTGCCTTACATAAAAAATTAATAATAATTTAAAGCTAAGCACGATGCTAAGTGTTTGATTTACTCACGGAACCTTCCTAAGTCTGCAAGGCAAGTACATCTGTCACCTCATTTTTTTTTTGTGCCAACCTTGGGGCTTGAACTCAGGGCCTGGCATTTATCTCTGAATGTTTGTGCTCAAGCCTAGTACTGTATAACTGGAGCCACAGCTTTACTTCATTTTTTGGTAGTTAATTAAAGAGTCGTAGGGACTTTCCTGCCTGGGCTGACTTTGAACCACAGTCCTCAGATTTTAGCCTCCTGAGGAGCTAGGATTATAGGTGTGAGCCACTGGCATCTTCTGGATTTGTCACCTCCATTTTATAGAGATGGAAACTGAGGTACATTCCCACCACTCCTGAGTGCTGAGCTGGGGTTTGAACCAGCAGTCTGATCTGACATGTTACATTTGTAGCCACTATCCTAGTTATAGCTCAGGACAGAGAAGATAGCTGGAAGACCACTAGGGTCACTGCTGCTTTTGGGGTTGCGTGTCCCAGAATGGACTGGCTCTGGTACAGAAATTGGCGCCCAGCCCTCCTTGGTATTCCACACTCCTTACTGCTCACTCTGAGAGGGTCTGCCTGACATGTGGCAGTCAGCAGCTCGGGGTGGCATTGGCGGCAGGCCAGCCACGGGCAGCCACCGGAGCAGTTGCAGGGGCTGAGGGGTGTGTGATGACTGTGTTCCCTGCCCCCTCTGAAGCTAAGAGCAGCATCTGGGTGCAGCCCCCTTGCCCCCAGCCTGCCTCAGGTGTCCCAGTCCTGTTCTAGGACGCCTTGAAAACCACCCTTTGCAGGTAGAACCCCAGTAGCCCCACGAGGGGAGGGGGTGGGAGGGAAGAGCCAGACCACTGCAGAGACACTGGCAGCTAGGAGCACAGTTGCAGAGTGGACAGCATGGGCACATCTCACACTGCAGAAATGTTTGGAGGACTGTCCATGCTGCTGCTGAAGCCCAATCCCCAGGCTCCACAGCCTCCTTCCCCATCTGCCAACTCTCCTGACCACCCCCTGCCACGCACCCCCTGCCCCCTGCTCCTGCTGCAGTCCTCCAGGAAGCCATCTTGACTTTGGAGTCTGGAGGGGGATGCCCCAGGCATCCAAGCCAGTACTGCCCACTCTCTGTGGTCGTTATGTAATGCCCTGGCTGCCAGGGCTCAGCTCTGTCTGGTGGTGCACCCATGTGCCCAGGAGGTGGATATGCGTGGGGAGCTGAATGGAGGGAGCGGTTTAGCTGGGTCAGGGGGCTGGAGAGCCACTGCTGCTGCTCACAACCACTGCCCTCCCTGCCCACAGGAACTCAGCAAAAGATTCACTGCGATCCGCAAGACCAAAGGGGATGGGAACTGCTTCTACCGGGCCTTGGGCTACTCCTACCTGGAGAGTCTGCTGGGCAAGAGCCGAGAGGTCCTCAAGTGAGTAGCTGGCCTGGCTGTGGGAAAGGAGAGCTGGTGGCCCCCAATGGCACAGTGGCTAGAAACCTAGCTAGCGCTACCCCCTCCTCCTTGGCCAGCCTGGCCACACACAGGGGTCAGGTAGGCTTTTGAGAGAAAACACCTGCCTTCCGTTCTGGGAACTCTTTTTTTTTTTTTTGGTTGGCCGTGGGGCTTGAACTCTGGGCCTGGGCACTGTCCTTCAGCTCTTCAGCTCAAGGCGAGCGCTCTACCATTTGAGCTACAGCGCCACTTCCGGTTTTCTGGTGGTTTATTGGAGATAGGAGTCTCACGGTCTCTCCTGCCCGGGGTGGCTTTGAACCGCGATCCTCAGATCTCAGCCTCCTGAGTAGCTAGGATTACAGGCATGAGCCACCAGCGCCCGGCCTTCTGGGAACTCTTGTTCCTGTCCCCAACCCCATCTTCACCCCCTTTCCCCTCCTCCCTCTCTTCCCATGAGGAGGAACACCGGGAGGCCCAGGTCTCAGCATACTGCTTCAAAGCAGTTGGCAAACTTGATGGCCTAATTGCATTTTTTTTTTCTTTCCATCCTGAGGCTTGAACTCTGGGCCTGGGCACTGTCCCTGAGCTCCTTTTGCTCAAAGCTGGCGCTCTACCACTTGAGCCACAGCACCACTTCCAGCTTTTTCTGTGATTTAATTGGATCTAAGAGTCACACAGACCTTCCTGCCCCAGCTGGTTGTGAACCATGATCCTCAGATCTCAGCGTCCTGAGTAGCTAGGATTATAGGCATGAATCTCTGGTGCCCTGCTTTGTGGCCTAACTTTTTATGTTGCTTGGTGTTTTCCTCTGTAACAGGTCTGTCTCTTCCCCTCCAGGTTCAAAGAGCGTGTGCTACAGACTCCAAACGACCTCCTGGCTGCCGGCTTTGAGGAGCACAAGTTCCGAAACTTCTTTAATGCTGTGAGTTCACATGGGCCACATAGGTTGAGGAGCCAGGGTCTTGCACGTGGATGGCACGCGGACACGAATCCCCCCTTCCTTGGATTTAGCACAGTGTCTGGCTGACTTTCTGCTGTAGCTTGAGAATCTCCATATGGGGCAATCTGAGGGCATCCATAGGGCAGCACGGGGCTTGTGGGGGTCTGCCCTGCTGATGGCGGTGGGGTGCAGTTTTACAGCGTGGTGGAGCTGGTAGAGAAGGACGGCACAGTGTCCAGCCTGCTGAAGGTGTTCAATGACCAGAGTTCCTCAGACCGAATTGTGCAGTTCTTACGCCTGCTCACCTCAGCCTTCATCAAGAACCGAGCCGACTTCTTCCGGCACTTCATCGATGAGGAGATGGACATCAAGGATTTCTGCACTCATGTAAGTCCTGGAGTCTCCAGCCCCAGGCTTTGCTCTGTCTCCTAGACTAAAGTACCACAGTCCCTGGCCAGGGCACACAGGTATCAGGTCTGCAAACTGCAGACAGGCCCCACTTGACAGTCACATCCCCTTCCTGGGGATTTACACCTGGAAAATCAAGACTTGGATTAGCCTCTTTAGACAGTTGCAGAATAGCAGCACCTCCAGTCATATTTGTCCTGAGATGTGTCCATGTTTATGATGTATTCATTGAAGGAATGTAAACATTAAGGCCATTTTTCCTACCTAGAGTATTTACATTTCCCTTGAAAAAGTTAGAAGAGGAAGCCCTTCGGCCCTACTTCTTAGATGACAACCATCAGCACACACAGGCCAGCTGCCCTCTCTGTGTGACACACACACTGGCCTGCCCCCATCGCTGCCCCATTGGCTCTTCCCCCTCTGGACACCCACGCACCCTCTGGCCTGGCCTCTCAGCACTTAAGCTGAGAAACCCCTGCATGACAGAGTCCCCTCTCAGCTCTAAGGTTCTTTGATGTTAACCTGAAGGACTCCTGTTCTTCCCCCGCACCCCACCCCACCCCACCACCCCCGCCCCAGCTAGATTCTTCAAAGGATTTGAAATGAGAGGAAAAAGATGCAGGGTCAGTTTCTGCAATCCCAGCAACAACTCTCTGTGTTGCTTCCTCCCATGAGCCTCAGCTTCCTCTGTGAAATGAGGCATGTAGACACCTGCCTCACAGGTGCTTGGGAAGATGGCCCCTCGGCCCAGTGGCTGTGATCAGGACCTAGAGAGCCAGAACTGAGCTCCCCTTCCTCTGCTCAGCCTCCCTCCTAAGCTGGCTTGTTTGGCATTGCAGGAGGTGGAGCCAATGGCCATGGAGTGTGACCACATCCAGATCACGGCCCTGTCCCAGGCACTGAACATCGCCCTGCAGGTGGAGTACGTGGACGAGATGGACACTGCCCTGAATCACCACGTGTTCCCAGAGGCTGCCATCCCTTCCGTTTACCTGCTCTATAAAACATCCCACTACAACATCCTTTATGCAGCCGATAAACATTGATTAATTTTAGGCCAGGCAGTGGAACCTGTCACCTAACGGACTGTATTCTGAATGGAACATTCCGGCTTTTCAATTTTTTAAGCGATTTAGACTATAGCTAGAAAATGTACAGCCTTTTGGGCAAAGCCACTGAGAGTGAGGCCTGCCTTTTAGGGACTCTAGTGGCTTGGTGGAATTTTTAGTATTTCTTTTCATGGAAGATCTAATGCCTGCTAACTCTGGGCCAGGAACTCAGGAACCAGACCTTCTTCGGACCTATTTCTCCATCTGGAGGAACATCTTGCCAGTGTGGCATGGCTGGTGTGTAGAAACTGGGGACTTTGGGTTCCATTTCACCAGGGGCAGTGCCCCTCTGTAAGGAAGAAAAACTCAAGGTCAGTTGTCACGACCCAAGTGACAAGTGACACAGCAGCTATACAAAAAGACTCCTCCCAGTGACGTGTGGCTGGACGTTGGTGGAGGCTGACTGGATGGGAGGGTCTTCACGCAGGTCCAAGCACGATGGGTGTGCTTTCTCGCTCCCCACTGTAGGAGCCTTCACTACAAAGCTCAGGTTGTTAGGGTTCCTCCTCCTCTCAGTGGCAGAACTGACTTGCAGGGCAGGCCCTTTAAGGTCTGGACACATTCCATGTACCCATGTCTGGCGACGCTGTCCATCATCCCCACTGAATCTTTGAAGCAGAGTCTAGGTACTCAACTGGGTAAGGGTTTGGGCGGCTTAGATACTAGCTGAGCAGCTGTGGCTGGCTGCCCTACCCGCTTCGTGGGGAGATTAGGTGGGAAAGATAGAAGTCGTGGAAATGGGCAGTAGGAGAGATTTCCCTAGCTGGAAACTACATGGCAGCAGCCTCCCAGACATGCTCCTTAAATAGCTTCTCACTGTGCTGTCTCAGGTGCTCTAGGAGCCCGCCCTGAGCTGGCAGGTGAGAAGGCACCCGTCAGGAACCAACCAACCTGGCAGGGCTGAGGTGCTGCCGACCCCCAACAATGTGGGGTGCCTTTTGGGGCCTGCCTTAGCCAGGTTTCATTCTGCAGGGATTTGTAGTCTATTGGTGCTACTATGGGAGTCTGCTGACGGTGTGCACGAGGGCTGCGGAGCAGACTCCTGTTCGTACTATGCTTCTTGCCTTAGTGAAAGCCAACCGCACTTAGACGTTGTGGTTCTTCAGGTCCAGGTTGGGGCCCTGGAGCCCACAATGACCTCAGCTAGCATTTGGTTCTAAGGGCTCAAGTTAGTGTGTCACTTTTCCCCAAAAATAAAATCCTGACCGCCTGCTCTTAGTAGGCATGCTGGGGTCCCTGACAAATTCCCTGAAGAGTAGGGGTACACATTCCACATCTCCTGTCATCTCCAGGGCATCCGTTTCCAAATGGAAGGGCATGCACATGGGGCCTGACTGGTACCCTGGGCTGCTGAGTTCAGAGCAGCTGGATCCAGAGGCTTATGGAGTGTCCTGTGACAGAACTTCTGGCACATTCCTTTGCAGCTTTACCTCTACTGTGCATCTGAGCCAGAGCACTGCTGACACCCATCCCGGACTCTCTTCCAGCAATGAGTGTGTCAGGATCGATGCCCATTCTCTGGCAGAGGAAAGCCAGGGTGTTTCAGTCAGTTTTTCTCTCTTCTTCTTTGCAAAGCCAACAGCCAGATCTGGACCAACACCCTCATTTCCTCCAAATTTGTCCTGACTTCTGTCTCTAATGGAAAGCGCTTCAGGGGAACAGTGACAGGACTGGAAACTTGCCTAAAACCCAGTCCTCCACAGCTCTCACCTGGCTGGTCTCAGCCCCATCCCACTGTCAATCCCAGTTCCTGAACGACCCCCTAACTCACAGAGCTGCTTCTTCCAGACCAAGTGTTGGAAGGAAGAGGCTTTGAGGGCATCATAACAATGAAAATTACTTTCTTTCCAGAGGAAACAATTGGTATGAATATTTAACAGCAGCGATAGCAGGACACCTTGGGCAGGACACCTATTCTGAACACAAATAAAAGGGCTCTAGAACCAAACAATCATGGTTCAAATCTCAGCTTTGCCACTTACTAGCTGTATGATCTTAGCCAAGTCCCTTCACCTCTCTGAGCTCCAACCCCATTTGTGAATCAGACATTACCTATACACCCCCGATTGCTGCTTAAAATGGGAATAACATGCATGACAATGAATGCCTGACACAGGGTGCTCTACTAGATGCCAGCCCACCCTTCCCAGCAGGGAGGGCATTGCTGGCTGGAGAAGCATGCCACCTTGCAGTGATTGGCCAGTGTGAGCCACAGGGGAAGAGAGACAAGCATACAGCCTGAGTTGGGGTGGTGAGTGGGCAGAGGTTCACTAGTACTCAGGGCCAAGCTGTACAGGATCCCTGCACATAGATGAGAACATTGTCCTACAATTAAAATGGCTTCCACAAATAACTCGTCATGGCTTCTTAATACTGGGTGCTTGGCACATACCCGAGCAACCCAGCCTGTGGGCACTATTGGTTTATGAGAAGTCCATAGAAGGACAGATCTAGAACACAAGAAGCTGCTTGAGCCTCACCACACTACTGCAGAAAGCCTCAAAGCCTGGCTCAATCTTTCTGGCCTGGGACAAGTGGCCCGCCTCCAGCCTGCTCCTCTACCCTGTGGAGCTGCCCTGCATCATTGGGGATGTGAAGGACCTTACTGTCCTTTACCGATGGCTACCAGGAGCTGAACTCCCAGGCTGAGGCACTTCTGGCTGTTTCTGCATTGTCATCCAGGGCAAAAACTGACTAGGGTCAAAGGGAAGGACATTCCCTGGTGACCCTGTTGTGACTGCTCTCCTAAGATTGGAGCAGCTTCCCTAACTTACCCTGAGGGAAGATGCCTGGGTTGTGATTCTGTGTAATGCTGAGCAAGTCTTAGGTGACTGGCTGTGTGTGGGATGGAACCCAGGACCTCACCGGTGCTAGACTAGTGCTTAACCACTGGGCTGTATTTCCCTGCTCACCCTGACCAAATCCTTTGTGCTTCCTTAACTCTAAAAATGAATATTAAGATTTAGGTCTTGACCTTAAGGACACCTAAATTGTAATTAAAATAGAAATGTCTAGGCTGGGCACGGGTGGCTCATACCTGTAATTCTAGCTACTCAGGAGGCTGAGATCTGAGGACTGTTGGTTCAAAGCCAGCCCAGGCAGCAAAATTAGTGAGACTCTTATCTGCAGTTAAGTACCAAGAAAAGCCAGGAAGTAGAACTGTGGCTCAAGTGGCAGAGTGCTACTCTTGAGCAAAAAAGCTTAGAGACAGCGCTCAGGCTCTGAGTTCAAGTGTCACCAAAAAACAAAAACAAAAAACCTAAAACAAGGCCTGACACTTGGTCAATAGAGTCACCAAAATTTGACTTTAGGGACAAAGCCAAGAATCCTGTCAATCACCCTCAGGGGCTTAGGGAATCCTGAGGAGGTCAGGTTCCTTGGATCTTAAGCTATCTAGGTCTACTGGTATACCTTAAAATCCATGGGACCTCCTAGCCAAGCAGTTCTGTTGTGTTATGAACATGTGTATGAAAATCCAGACAGCTGTTGGAACTCTGCCCTCCCAGGTTGTGGCAGCTGGGTGACACCAGTGGTCACTTCACACAATGTACACTTCTACCAGACCTCTGCCCGAGGAGCAGGGAGTGTGGCCAGCGTTAGGAGGGCAGCACAAGCACTATGGGTACAGTCGGCTCTGTCCCTCTCCATCCTGCCCTAGGATTTACAGGCTGAGGGAAAAGCTTATTTGCAAAAAGGGACAGAAGGCTGTATGTAAAATTGTTAGCATGAGGCCATTCTGTCAGAGGGGAGTACAGACAGGGCCTGGGCCAGAGCCAGATCCAAAGGCCTCCCACTCCTGACAGGAGTTACAGGCTAGCTCTATGATGTGAAGGAAGCTCAGGGTTGACATCCTGTTCCCCTGCCCCCTTCCTAGCGTGGCTCAGACAGCCCAGCAGGGTGGGATGAGCAAATGAGCTGCTACTGGGAAGGGCACGCTCGCTAAAGATCTAGCAGCAATGTGTGGTGACCTCAAGTCAGAAGCAGTGGACATGATTCCCACCTTCTCAAGGGACCAGCATTGTGCTGGCTCAAGGGGGTTCCTAAACTGATGACAAGGCCAGTACCCCTCCCCCCCCAGGTTACAAATATCAGGGTGACGCTCTGCCTCTCAACATAGGTTTTAATTCAGCAAGTCAAGCAGAATACACAAAAAGCGTGTAAACACTGGAACACAGACAGATTAAGCTGCTGAACAGAATTCTTGACAACATCACAAGTCCTGCTGAGGACCCGCCTGCTAGGGGTGGAAGAGTGGGAGATTTTTCTAACAGGTGATGGTCGAGTGAACCGCAAGGTGGGAAGTATTTACACAGAACCAGAGAACAGACACCACTGAGCAGGCACCAAACACTGAGCGGGAACAGTTAACTTGCACTGGTACTTGGCTGTGGTGACTCTTGCTGCCGGCCCTTTGGCTGCTTCTTTCTCTGTTTGGAGAGGCATCTTAAAGCAGACTCGCCTTTCCTTGGGGCAACCATGAGCTGGGGCAGCCGGCCAGACTGAGTGGGGTACTTGGTCCTCAGGTCCTCTTTGAACAATGGCTGGGCAAGCAGGTGGCGCAGCTCCTTCTTCAGGACCTTCATCTGCTTTTGTCGCCGACGCTCTTCCTGCAGGTCAGCTTTTCCTCCTTGAGACACAATACAAATAAGACCCTATTTATTCTGGAATGTGGAACATCTTGCTTCCTTTGCGCTAGCTAGCTTGACAGGAACTGTACTTTCTAATCATGCAGGAAGGATATGTAGGAACACTTTCCTTTATTCCCCATGAAAACCCTCAAAGAATTATTCTGTTTACAGGTAAGCCAACTCAGCATTAGAAGTCCCCTAAGAGGATATTGCTAGCTAGCTGTCAAACCAAGGAAACAACCCAAGTCTCCTGAGAGAAGATAATTTTCTGACTTCCTATACTCACTTGCTATCTGGTGACCTGATAGCCGCAAATCTCTCAGGAGACAGAGGCTACTTCCTTGCAACCTGTCTACCCTGAGCTGCAGTCAAGAGCTGTGACTACACGCAGATGTGCAGGCTCTACCCAGCTATCTTCAGGAAGAGTCAGGGCCTCCATTGGCCAGAGCTAGGAGGACTAGCCCAGTCATCAAGCCACTGCTTTGGCTCCAAAGGATTGTGTTGACTTTGGCACAGACATATGAACACTTTGGCTGAGGTGCATTGCTGGTGGGAAGAGTGCTGGCTCTCACTTTGGTGTCACCAATTCCAGATGTAGAGCTCTCACTTCCAGCCTAAGCAGGGACACGAACCTCACAGAAAAGTAGGGCTCAGACTACTGGTCTAAGCTGATGCAGCTGGTCCATGCACAAGTCCGTCACTCTGAGCATCTAGTTCCTATCTGTGAAAGGGTAATAACTGCTACCTCATGAAACTGCAGAGATCAAACGAGATGCTCTGCTGGCATGGAAGGCAGGTGTAGTAGGAACTCATACTAAATAACCACTTAAAATGTATCACGCACCTGCTATTGCCAGGCACTGTTGGACGTTTCTACTCTAATCTTCACTACCACCCTATTAGCTCCATGTTACCAATGAGGAAATAAATGGGCACAACAGGGAAGTTAAATAACATGGCTCAGTTAAGGGAGTAGGGGAACCAAACATAGCTGTGTGGCCAGAGGAGAGCCTGTGCTCTCCCTGTGCTAGGCTCCACGGCAATCCCTATGAAGCACAGGCAGCAGAGGGCTTGGCAGACAAGCCATTAGGAGTCTAGGACATTAGGAATTAAGGGCACTGGGTTCATCGAGGCTAATCCAGGACTAGGGGCTGTGACGCAAGAAGGAAAGGGCTCCTTGCTGATTCTGACAGGACCACGGAAGTTTAGATGGCTCCAACTAGGCAGAAGTTGAAAGGGAAAACAAGAAAAGCGAAATGTACGTCCCTTAGGCCCCCCACCAACCCAAGGCCTTACCTTTGTACATGTCTTCTTCCAGCTCAATCTCCAGGGCAGCTGCTGCCTGCTCAAGCCAAGAGTTGTGCAGACAGGCCTGGAAGTTTCGATACTCAGCTTTCTCAATCTGCCGAGCTAAACGGATTCGCTCCTGAGGGGCAGTAACAAAAAATATTTGTCTAACAGGGGGCTCAGACCTCACCAAAGTTATGTTTTTGTTTCTTTTCTTTCAGGTCAGAGACCAGGACTCAAACTCAGTACGTGCTGCTTTTGCTCATCGAGTAGTACTCTACTGAGCCATGCCTTGAACCCCCATTATTTTTAAAAAAGTGTTGAGATGCAGCTCACTTCCGATGAAATGCACTTATTTGGGCAATTATGTACACACATGTGCATACACATAATCACAAGACAGCCTTCTCAACAATAAACTAGACCTCTTCAAGCCTGTCCCAGCATGACTGCCAACCTACAGGTGGCCCACAGTGAAACCAAGGAAAACTCCAGATGACATATCTGGTTTCCTTAACTCCCACCATCATGGGTTCTGACGTTAGACTTCAGTAACAGGACATCTCTTGCTCTCTGTCCACCCCTGCTCCCCATGAATGATGACATGGGACAAGGACACAGAAGCTCTTCCCATAATTTCTGGAACTCCATCTGCTCTCTGCCTCTCCATATTTCTGCTGCAGGATGAAACCTATTCTCCCACGACAATGCTCCACTAGTGCCTGAACTTTCCCATGGACTGGGCTGTCTCAGAAGTGGGTGAACCTCTGGGAAGGGGACTACCCCACTCTGGCATCCGATACACTATGGTACATCATAAGGAGCACTCACAGTGAATACCCACTCAGTTAAAATAGACATCAAAGCTGGGATGCGCTGGCTCTGTTGCTTGAGAATGTACCAGACCTTTAGTATCTATCTGAGAACCAACTCCCTTGCTGCCCTCAGGTGCAGCTAGCATGCTCACTGCAATGTCCAGAGGGGTGAGAGGCAGGGATATGGAGACTTTAAGGGCAGACAACTAAATAATAGCTATGGATGAGAGAAGAAAATGTGTCACACTTTTGGTCACTCCCCTCATTTCTCCGTCCTGACCCTTGCAGCCTTTTCACAAGTCTTGCTGTCAAGTTTCCTGGGGTGGCTGCTGGGCATCATCACAAGAAGCTCTGAGGGAACCCAGAGTTCCACCCTGCCGCACCCCCCCACCCCCCCGCCCAGCACCAGGGCTGGGCTCTCACCTTCACTATATCCATATACTTTGTCTGCACAGGGAAAAGTGGGATGTCCTCGTCTTTCTTGAGCGTTTTATAAATCTTCTTAAAGTTGATCACATCCTCAGGCCCAATCAGCATCAGACTGAGGCCTTCACGGGTGGCCCGAGCAGTTCGACCACTTCGATGGATATAAATCTCTGAAGTGCGAGGGACCTGTCAAATCAAGAACTGGGATCAGCACGCGGCTGGGTGATGGTGCTGCCGTGAGGGCTGGCTGCAGACACTCCTCTTCCTCTCATGGCCACATTCCCAATCCAAAGCCTCCTCCCTGCTGGCTAGGCAGTAGGTCAGTGGACCCAGCTGTCCTTGTCCCCTAATCCCATCACTGTGTATGCTCTACCCTTCTAACG